CCGATTACATACAGCTAGTGCAAGAACAATGTAAGTAGAGACCAGCAGTATTGTCCCAATGTGCACCTGCTGTGTATCAGACACTCAGGTATTTCTTTTGATTATTTCTAAAGCAGTGTTCCTTAAAAAAAAGATTCTCCTAGCTCATCTTTGTTTCAGCTTAAAATGTTTCTGAAAGTAATAAAACCAGGCTTCGCTGATAAAAAATAATCTAGAATTATGACTATTGGCTGAATGCCTTCCCACTCTTGCTCCCTCATCACGTAAATACTTAACACAGAGAAGTTTCACTGTACAGCAGGTTGGCGTCTTTCTTCGGTTATGGGGACGGAGATCAGTGTTCTGGAGGAAACATGTGCCTAGAGTTTAACAAACCTAGTCGGCCTCTCCTTTCTTCAGTCTCAACCCTGTCCAACCCACGTTCCCTGCCCGCGTCCCACTAAGGTGGTCTACTTTCTCTCCCAAAGGCCTTGCCTTCATGGGGGATGTAGGGCACATGTGGCCCCGTGACCCAGCACCTGCCTTCTCCATTTGCGTTATACAGTCCCTTCTCCAAACTCTGTGCTCCAGGCACCTGAACTCTCCCAAAGAACTCTCCTAAAGAGTAAAACCTTTATCATTCGGTAATTTTTTCAGCAGCTAGCATAGAAAATCTGACCAGCAGAGGCTTAAACTGTAAGAATATTTATTATTATTTAATATTTATTATCAGAGGATCAAAAGTACATAGTCCACACCTTGGTTTTCACAGCTCAATTACAGAAGAAGACACGTGCTTCAGAATTCAGATCCCCAGTTTATTCCTACTTTGAGACCAGTACCTCTGCACATACACCACACACCCCACCCAGCTGTTCCTTATCTCTGAGTCTGGCTAGTACCTGCCCTGCAGAAAGTACACTTTACTCCGGTCTTTACTCTGGTCTTTTGATAAGAGGAAATTCCAAGAGGGACAAGATCTGTGAAAGAATAAATTTTTTATAAAATAATAATAATAATAAAATCAAGATTCTCATATAGGTGTAAAATGAGTCTGTATTAAGGATTTTATTAAACTCATTAATTAATGAGGAAGCTAGGCAGATGTGCTATAACCAGTTCAAAGAAGAAATCCGAGGAGCATCAATTTATACGGAGGAAAGGAATATTGAAGTGAACATGCAAATGGGATGCAAAACTGGCTTTTCCACAGGAGAGAGGGTTAGCCTTTGTCTAGAAGAATGAATTCACATCTGTAGACAAGAATCACTTCCCATTGCTTTCAGCTATCTGCAACTTAGAGCTATAAAACAGTTCCAAAGAAGTAGAATTAAATGACTGGAAGAGTATACTCTAGAAGATAATTTTTCATTGAAGCACGATTTTTTCCTACTGAAGGGGAAAAATGCATATTCAATGCAACATGTTTGGAATGATTACAAGGACTAAATAATATAACCTCTGGTAATAGTTAATGAGCTGGACTGTGCTTGCTGCTGCCCTTGCCACAGTCCCTAACGGCACCCTGTATTTATGACTCTCTCTCCACACACATAATCTTTGGAGGCTCATTTCCTTTGCGTGGTCCATGTCCTCTTGCCTATTCCCACTACTTTCACCACCATTCAGGAGTCTTACGCTGAGTCCTTAACAGCTGCCAGTAAATCCTTGCTGAATACCTGAATGAATGGATTTGGTAAAAAGTATGTCTTCTTGGTGATACTATCATTTTTTTTAGAATGCCCTTACAGTTTGTTAAAATTGATATAGTCATAGCTGTTCACTTTTTTCTTGGCATTGTGAGCCAAGACCCTGCCTCAAAATCCAACATAAATGTTATACTAATTATGACGTGTTGTAATGGAGCAGAAGTGGACTGATCAGTTGTTAACTGAATGAACTAATTTGGGGAGATATTTTAATAATTGTAAATGTTTTTTCTATAACAGAGAAACATATGCACGCAAAATAGAGGAATGGGAAAACTAGATAAATGTCCATTTTCTGTTAAGCTGTGTTGGTAGATTTGTGCATGTGTTTAAATGGCTGTGTGTGTCCTTTGGATTATTGAGATAATTGGGACTTTACTTTGTAATTTGTAATGAGAACCTATATTTGACATAACTTTACTTCCCAGCACTAATTTTTCAATATATTTAAACATGTAAGTGTATATGTATAGACATGAGGGACATCAGGAGGTTTGTGTCAATATTGAATTGACATGAGTTTACTTTGGTAAAAAAAAAAAAAAAAAAAACACCACTTAAAATCTCCCCATAGTTTTTTAGTATATATGCTGCTAAAGCGAGCACTACCCATAGTTTTTTCATAATATGCTTTTTCTATGAACCTTTTGAAAACCCCCTATTATTTATCTTAGTTTTTGCTTGAATGAATTTTTCTGGGACAAGCAGATGGCATAAGGGTTACATCACTGGACTACCACATACATAGTCAAAAATAGTTCGAGTCCTAAGCCCAGTGGCTTAAAGCTCACACTGGTACATGTGCATGCGTGCATGCACAAAATGCTAAGAGCAGAATGGAGGAGAAGGGATTACAACGTGACCATCCCACTTGGGGGATGATTTCTTGCATTCTGTCTCTCTGTCTCTTTCTTACCAGCAAGCACACACACCTTTTATGAGAACTTGCACTTAAAAAAAAAGAAAGAAAGAATTTTTTTTCTCTGACAGTCTGGTTGTTTTCTAGTTAAACCCTTTAAAAAAAACTTCAGGACACTACCAGATGGTTCTATATTGCTGAAAGAACATGTGCTAGAATAAACATACTTCCTTTATTTCCGCTTCCTTATCCCCGGGCCCTGTCCCAACTCTACATCAAGGAAATAGAGAATCCTCCTGTAATTTAAAGACCTTGGAAGCTTTTGAATTATTTTCATCTTTGTGCTAGCCTTTCTTGATTTCCAATTGGGTTATTTCTTAGATTTTCTTTTAAAAGATATCTTTATTAATTTATTATATTCAATCACTGGACATCATTAACACATCCCAAATGAACTTTATCATCACGAATACACTGCATGTCAGATCAGTCAAAGACATTATCATGTATACTTTTTTTTTTAATAATTCAAATAGAAAACTTGTTTCATTTGACTTACATGGCAGTACTCTTTTATGTAAGCAGCTCTTTTTGTTTATTTATCCCCTCCTTTGGTGTTTTTCTTTTTTTTTTTCTTTCTGATCACATTTTATTGATTCACAAAAGATCTTAATTAATCTAAATACTTTCTATAGCAAGTAAAGCTAATATAAACATATCTCTGAACACATGTCTGACTTTAGGCATAAACCTCAGTGAGGAGAATGAACATATTACTATAAGGTAGCACCTAGCTGAGACTAGATAGCTAACTATGGTCATTGAGTAGGTTTGTTTTTTTGGATTTTCTTTGTTTTGTATTTCTTTTCAAGAAAAGCAGTTTTAGCTTTAATAAATCAAAATTTTAAAATGCTAAGAAAAGTTTTATTAAGATTTAAAACCAGGAAAAATGTTAAGATCCTGTTCAAACAGTAAGTAGACACTAAAAACTCAAAAAGTAGACATGGACAGAGTTAAAATCTAGTAACAAATGCACTGTAAATTTTCTTCTGAAACATTTTTTTCTCTCTCCATTCCCCTTTTACCAAAGAGAGACATAAGCTAACTTATTTTCAAATAAATGTTTAGGCTCAATTTGCTATATTATTTCCACAAAGCTCTGTAAGAATGCTAATTGATTTAGTTGTCTTTGCTGGAACTTTTTATTAGGAACTTCAGATTAGACTCTTTTTTTTTTTTATAATTATTCTATTTAACTTTATTTATTTTAATTTGGCAAGAGAGAGGCAGAGTGAGCGAGAGAGAAAGAGAGAGGGAAAGTGAAAAAGTTGCCAGGTCTGGGACTTGAACCATGGTCATCCATGTGGGAGTCCAGCACCCTTAACCACCATGACACCTGCTGGCCCCAGATTAGATTCTTTTTAAAAAACCTCCCAAAGCTACTGAGCCAAGTCAGGAACTCACCATCTGGTTGTGCCTGTGAGTACCTGTACTTGAAAGTTTGGGGCCTGTCCAATAGTGGCATTCTTTACTTACCTACCAGCCAGGGATTTTCTAAAACTCTTGAATTTAGAAGACCAAGATTAGACAGAATAATCTCATTGTAACTATGACACTTTCAAGAACAGCAGAAGATGGGGCCAGCAGGTGGTGTATTTAAGGCACTGGACTCCTATATGGTCAACCACGGTTCAAGTCCCGGACCTAGAGGTTTGCTTTCTTGAAATCTCTGGTGAGCACACATGCTCTATAGAAAATTTTAAAATAATAAAATAAAATTAATAATTCTTTAAAAAAAACAAAGAATGGCAGAAAATCTATACTTCTCAGTTCTTACATATCATGTATTTACAAATGTAATCCAGTATCATATAAGAGTGTATAGTAGCTGTTAAGGCATTCAAGTTATGTTTTTTTCACCTAATAAATAATTAACTAAAGAATTCTAATCAAATGAATTATAAAGGGGACATCACTATTCCTTTCGATTTAAAATACTTTAAGAGAATTCCCTGCTGCATAATATCCTAAAAGAAATTGATAATACTTTTCCTGTAATAAATGCTGTTCTGACAGTAAAGCATTAGTAACCAATTGATAACCTGGCAACAATATTGTGATCTCTTTAGATAATTAATCTTAGCTATTTTCCTGTCAGAAGCAACAGTGCTTGATTTTATGTTGAGCCAGAAAGATTGCCAGTTTTGAAAATTAAAAAGCATTCCTTTTATATTATTCATTCCAGTAACAATTTATGATGGCGCATTTAGCTGCTGAACGCTTGTCAACAAACGTAATTATGTTTCGATATAAACAAGATTGGTGGTTTTACTATGCAGCTCTATCTTTGTTGAGAATGTTTTGATTTAAGTTCAGATTATACAAGCCGTGTATTTATGTGTCATTTTTCCCCCCTCCTTTGTTAATAGTTTTTTTCTGATAATTACTTGTAGGCAAACAAGCATGCATTTAGGATCCTTATGCACGGGAGATATCAAACGGAGAAGAAAAGCAGCACCTTTGCCTGGACCTACTACGGCAGGTAAAACAAAAGGCGGGATGGAGTGGAGTACAAATTAGAGTTCATAAATCCTTAAGAATGAAATGCAGGTAACTCCTGATCACTTGTACCGAAGAAAAGGCACCGATGCAAGAACTATTAAAAGAAATCACTTGTGTTTGTTGTCAGGTTATGTTGCATGTTTCTTGTGTAGATGTTCCAGGGAGCCAACTGATAACATATTTGTTACACACCTACCAAAGTACAAGATTTTGTGTAAGGTTATGAAGGATATAAAAACTTCAAAGGCTATATCTTTGGGCTTAAGAAATTTATAGACTTGTTGAGAAACTAAGACAAAGAGATGGAACAACAAATAACTCCAGGAGAGACTAATAGTGATTCATTAAAAACAAAATAAAAAATATAGCAGCAACCATTAAAAAAAAGTGGTTTTTTTTAATGGAGATTTTTACTATAGGGTATGTGTGCTCACTAGAGAGACAGACAGAAAGTGAGAAATCACCTCCTGTGGGGGGGATGACCATACCACAATCCCTTCTCCATTTTCCTTTTGGGATCTTGGACACGCATGCACATATGTCCAGCGTGAGTTTTAAGCTGCCAGATCCAGGAGTCAAACCGTGGTTGACTATGTGGGAGTCCAGTGATATAACCACTATGCCATCTGCCTATCCTTAGCAGCAGCCTTAAAGGTCATGTTATAGTATGACTGGAAACCTGCCATAGGAATGTAGCAATCTGGTTCTAGTCCCAGCTATGTGGCAATCTTACATTCATCTTTCCTTAATGACACAATGCTAATTTTAGAATTTTTAAAATCTCAGGACCAGCAGATGGAATCTTGGTTATGTCACTGAACTCCCATATAGTTGACTGTGGTTCAGGTCCCGGACTTAGTGGCTTAAAACTCACACCTGGCACGTGGGCGTGTGTATTATCCCTGTTGGGAGCAGGGGTGATTTATCACTTTCCATCTCTCTAGTGAGTGCACACACCTTATAGCAAAAAATCCCTCTTAAAAAAAAGAATTTTTAAAATCTCTTATTTATACCTCACAAATGATATTCTTCGAATGGCATACCGTTCTAATCATGAGTGATACAAGGAAAACCACAAGTGCTGAGCAGAGGGAAGTCACTGAAGACCTCAGGAGACAGAAAGCGTTCCTGGAAGAGCAAAACTGAAGCTTGGTGGTAAGGACTCCAAATAAGAATAGGATGGGCTGCACAATCTGATACAAGAGCACTGATGAAGGAGGCACAGATAACAGTCCTTGATAGGAGGAAGCCAGCAGGGCATTCCAGTGTAGACACCGCCCCGTGAATGTACAAGGGTTAACTCCAATGGGTCTGTGCCGCTGTGCACTCTCTGACAAAATGTTTTCAGTACAAATAGTGGAGCAGTTACAAAGAGTGATAGCCTTGGCCTGTCGCCTGGGTTTCTTAACCCTTCAGAATTATAAACTTCCTTTTAACTTCATTTGAGCAAGCTTTTAAAGGAAAGTGATTTTAATTATAAAATAGGAAAATGGGATTCCTATCAGTAGGCAGGTAAGCAGTGAAAAGGAAAAAGCATCTAGTTAGGTTGGTGGGAGGGTGGATAGATACAGAGATAATAGGTCTTAATTGTTTGTTTTGTATGGTGAATTCAAAGAACATAAAAGATGTGAAGCTTATGTTCTCTATTCAGGGAACCTATTCAGCAGTAGAAAATTCAAGAATAATGTAAAGTTGGAGCACTCATAATGCAGTTCATCTACAGAAAGGGCTATATGGTGAAATTAAGCATTTTATTATAATGCTTGATTTTTAACTTTTAGTTGTATGGAAATTTTAGGATTTGGAATTGAAAAACACCTTTGTGTAGGGTGTGTTTGTATTTGTATAGAATAAAATTCACCACCTATTAGATGCCTACCATGTGCCAGAAACTGTGCTGTTTTGTTTTATTTTCAGAGCAACTGTATGAGGTAGGTGGTGGTAGTTCATTTTATAGATCATAAAGTTAAGTTTCAGAGAAGGGTTAGGTTAGCTACCCTGAAGGGACATAATTATTGAACTGCTAGCGGGGGTTTCAAGCCTGGGTCTGAGTGACTCCTAAACTCCTTTTCTTCCCATGACAATGAACTTACAGTCTCTTTGTGAAAATACCTGTGTAAAAACTTGCATGCATATGTTGACTCGAACCCACTGTTCATGTGCCTTACATTTTATAGGAGACTTACCTAGTAGCTATTACTATGTAGACATGTAGAATATTCATGAAATATTTCTAATACAGCTCTTCGTATAAGGACAAATAGCCACATTTTACATCAAATACATGTCATAAGTTCTTCCATTCAAATCTTTTCATAAGTCAGGTATGGGATTCTTTTACATCCTCCTTCCACTTGAATGGTCTCCTGAATTCCCTTATCTTTCAGTGATTCGAACATTAGTGGCAGAAATAGTGCAAGACAATCTTGGGACTGTTACGAAAGCACCTTAGTGGCAGCAATAAGGAAAAGAGAATACCGGGGTCGAGTCCTAACACCCTGAACATATGTGAAGTGAGAAGGAAAGTGCATAATGGCTGAGGAGAGGATAATATAATTATTCCTACAAGGTGATTTTGACATTACAACCCAGTAACATCAGAAGAAATCATTTGTATGGAGTATGGATACAAACATTAAACTTTAGCCTAAAACAATATTTTATAAGCTTATACCAGCTTATTCCAGATGTTATATTTCAAAATTATTGTCATTCTCTTAAGAATTAGGGTTTTTATAATCCTAGAATTTTACTTAAAAGATACAATTCATAGAAATGTAATGCATTTTTTAATTACTCAAAAGTAGTGAAGTAGGAGAATTATGCCAATCATTTCAAGGCATTTTTTGAAATCTATATATAACTGTTCCTCTCAAAGAGGAAGAGATTGAGGTTATTTGAAAGTCCTCAATTTTAAATAGAATATCTTCTAATACTAATGAATCAACTCTAAGGTAGAGATTATTACCCGAATTCAAGTAGGAAATGCTTTTGCATAAATACACTTTGATAATGAGATTATAAATCCTAGCTCATCTTGTCTCAGAAAATTACAATTTTCAAATTCTGGGATATAGTCTGTCACATAATAGTTATATTTGTAAACTTCCAAAGTTGAGCTAGCATGTAGTGTAATTTTAAAGAGAATATGTTTGCCATTTTAGAGACTCCCACAAAAAAAGACATTGAATTGAAATATATTTTTAACTGTTACATTTTCTTTGATCAACGCTAAATCTAAGCTAGAAAAAAAAATGCAGAAGATAACTCACTTAAAACAGAGTAAAACTGACAACTTGAATATTGTTTGATAATTGCCTCTGATTTATATGTGAAATATCATGCAATTAGCAAGTTTCAGAAAGAGTTTACCCAAAAAATTACCAGAAAATCATAATTGAGCACTTTAACATTTATAATCCCAAACTAGGTTCAACTGTCTCTAACTCTAAAGATGAAATTAATAACCCCATTCGGATTATGTTTATCTGCTAGTGTTCTGAAAATTTGTCTTACTTCGTCACCAGTAGCATTGAAGCATAATTTCAGTCACTCTATAGAAGGCTCTGGATGAGAGCAGTGTTATTAGCATTTTAACATTTATTAATCGTGACAGGAACACCAAATTTATTTCAGTGCTTTAGCTTATTTACTGCTCTTTCACCTTTGTATTTTGTATTGACAAAGCAAAATGAATATTGATAAGGTTAGATATTGATTTTTTTTTTAAATGTATAGCCTGTTCGCCGCCTCATTCAAAGTCATACATGAAAAGATAGTGGCTGTCTCGGTAGCGAAGGATGTAGATTTAACTTTAACATTTATAATCCCAAACTAGGTTCAACTGTCTCTAACTCTAAAGATGAAATTAATAACCCCATTCGGATTATGTTTATCTGCTAGTGTTCTGAAAATTTGTCTTACTTCGTCACCAGTAGCATTGAAGCATAATTTCAGTCACTCTATAGAAGGCTCTGGATGAGAGCAGTGTTATTAGCATTTTAACATTTATTAATCGTGACAGGAACACCAAATTTATTTCAGTGCTTTAGCTTATTTACTGCTCTTTCACCTTTGTATTTTGTATTGACAAAGCAAAATGAATATTGATAAGGTTAGATATTGATTTTTTTTTTAAATGTATAGCCTGTTCGCCGCCTCATTCAAAGTCATACATGAAAAGATAGTGGCTGTCTCGGTAGCGAAGGATGTAGATTTACTATTGCAAAATTGAGAACTATCGAAGCAAGAAGGTTTGCCAGCAGAATGCATTTTATGGTTTGAAAAATGTCATCTGTAAAGGTGAAGAAAAGCAGTGAACAAAATAGGAGGAATATTATTAACACTTTTTAGAAAGGCAGCCAGCAATGTCAGTTGTGGTCTGTGTTTTTGGTGGAAGCCATATCTTATTGAGGATTTGATAGTACAAAGATCTAAGCATATTTTTTGAGATAGTGTGGCTACCACATTTTTAAAAATATGTTTTCCGTTATGAAAATTACTTAAAAAAATTACTAAATTCAGTGCTACCCACAATTTGTGTTGCCTGTTACTGTTTTCCTTTCTTCTGAAATATACTGAAAATATTCATCAGAAGGAGTCAACCGTTTTTCTATTCACTTTAAGTTGGACAAAAGAAATGCCTATTGAAGTTTAATGCCTCGGTACAGCTATCGCTCCAGGGTAACTGTGTCTTCATGGACGTCTGAGTTCTTGGCAAGAAGCTTACATTACAGCTCTTTGTGAATTTTCACCTTTTTTTTTTATATCCTATTGATATTTCATTAAAAAAATAATTGTGTGAATATTTAAGGCAGTAAAGGCACGTTATAAATAGTAATAGGTAATGACTTTTTAAAAGTTACTTTTTACTCCAGAGTCATATCAAATTTAATCAGGAAATGATTGGCATAACCAAGATCCTTATCAAGGTGCTAGAGTTGTCCGAACGTATCAATGGTAAGCAAAAAGAATTATTGA